TGTGCACAATTGTATGGCAATCGGCCTAAATTTGAGTCTTGAAATCCGACAAATTCTAGGAAACTTTACACACACTATTATCAATTCAGTACGCTATGTCAAATTTCGTGCAAAATTAAAATTAAGTCGGACGAAATATATATATATGGGAACTATATCTAAATCTGAACCGATTTTCAGGAAACTTAACACACATCATTCTATACCTATTTCATTACGCTATGCCAAATTTCGTGCAAATCGAAAGTTATATAGGGACTTTAGTGCTCTATTTACCAAAAATCGGAGGAAAATATATATGGGAGCAATATCTATATCTGGACCGATATTTTCCAATTTCAATAGGGTTAGTCCCTGGGCCAAATAAATGAGATGTGCCAAATTTCTTCCAATTCTAATCAAAATGCGACCTGTACTTTGTTTACAATTTAACATGGACAGACGGGCAGACGGATTCTGTGCATATTCTCAAAAGGAACCATGTGTCTATCTCGTTTCCTTTTGCCTGCTACAAACATATGCACAAAGACATAATACCCTGTACCACAGTGTGGTGAAGGGTAAAAATTGGGCACAAAAAATTTTGTGGATATAAGTTTATTTCCATCCAAGGTCTTTGAATGACAAATTACCACCACCTGGGTATGAGAATATGTCCAGGATGTATCTTTATATGAGGCTATGTAAAAATTAGGACCAATACTGTCAATTTAATTAGAAGAAGTTTTTATGCCCTTCAAGACCCCGAATGTCAACTTAAACCTCATTGTGTTGGAAACTGCGGATAAACGCTTCAAAATAATTGAAATAGCTTGTTGTCCATTGCAGTTGTCTTGTTTTTATATGCATTCGAAACTATTTAATTTAAGGGGACCCCCCCATTCACGGGGTCAAAATTTTTGTTGACTTAATTCTAATCTACAATGTCCCTGCAAAATTTCAAGTAAAAATATCAAGAACTCTTGAAGATATAGTCGATTTATTGTGTCAGCATCAAGTGACGGCTGAAGGGCTTCTCAAACTTAAAACACGTTTTTCTCTCAAAATTTTTTTGTGAATGGCGGGCACGATAACTCAAAAACTAATAACCCAATCGATTTCAAATTTTTACACGTTTCTCTGTGAGTATATAGCTATCGTATGCACTAGGATAAAGCCAATCAGCGAAGATCTTCCTTATTTTTTAACATGGTTTTAGGTAAAAAATCGGCGATTTTCCAAAAATATTTTTTCAAAGGTCCACCATTTTGTAAATTTTAGAGCGAAGTCAATAATCCTAGTTCATACGAGAGCCAGACATGTACTCTTTCTAACACCGTTGGAATTTTCGGATTCCGATGTTCCAGTGAGGAGTTATCATGCCCGCCATCAAAAATAAGGACTATTCTTTAATTACAAAAAACAACAACAAAACAATAACAAAAATTTGTTGTTAATTATTTTTCTTATCTTTTTAATCTTCAATTATATATGTGCAAAGTTACAAACCTTAACAAGCATTGGTATTGATTTACCAGCCCATTGAAAATCTTGAAAAATTAAAATCGAGAATGGGTGGGGTTCCCTTAATACACGTTTTTTTTACTTGCAGACGCCATCGCATTATTTAGTAATCCTTAAGTAATTATAATCCTTTTATTTTCAAAATAATAAAATAATAATTAATTCATTAGAGAAGGCACTAACTTATAAAGGTGTCATCTATTAATCTTACACGTGTTGTTAGAAACACACGTTTTAAGGAAGGTGGGTGGCTATACCGAAAAGCGGACAGAAATATATAATTGGCAATACAAAAGCAGGATCTTTGAATGGGCGTTCTTTCTAAATGTTGTCATGTTATTTGCCCTTCATGAAACCGAAATTACAACACTAGTAGATTTTGGAGGTTCTGGAAAATTGAAGATTTAAACTATAGTACTGAAAATTAAATCCCAAAAAATTGCCTGCAAATTCACAAGACCTACTATAACCCTTATTCCCAACAATTTAATATTGCTTCTATAAATTTCTCTGACAAGCGCATGCATTCCTTAAAACGTGTGTTTCGAACAACACGTGTAAGATTAAAATATGACACCTTTATAAGTTATTGCCATCTCTAATTAATTAATTATTTTGTTATGAAAAAAAGGATTATAATTACTTAAGGACTACTAAATAATGCGATGGCGTCTGGTAGTAAAAAATGTTAACAAAACGTGTATTAAATGAAATAATTTCGAATGTTTATAAAAACAAGAAATCTGCAATGGATACAATAGTCGTTTGTCGACATTTTAAACCATCGTTTAAGAGCTGCTAATGTATGTCCAATGACGACGGACAACGGATTAAATACAAAATCACTCTTCAGGACACATTTTATATGCTGGCGTATATTGGGTTTGATGCCGCCGCAAAGGTATCGGCCTCTCTATTGGTTGTATTCGTTAATCGTCAATCTTATGGTGACCATTGGTTATCCTTTGCATTTGCTATTGGGCCTATTCACCAGTATCTCTCTGTATGAAGTTATCCAGAATTTGGCCATCAGCCTAACGTGTGCGGTATGTTCGATGAAAACATTCGCCATTTGGTGGAAATTTAAAGATATCGATGGAATGTTTGAGATTGTACAGCGTCAAGACGAACACACCCGACCGGGCGAGCAAACGGAATATCTAAAGCAAAAAGTATATCCTCCGATAAAGAATCTATTCTTGTTGTTTTACATTCTGTGCAGTATGGTAGTCATAACGGGAGAAATTTCGGTTATTTCCAATGGTTTACGTGGCAACTGGTTACTCATGTATCAATCGTATTTTCCATTTGATCCTTATGCATCGTCGATGAATTATGTCATTGCTCATATCTATCAAGTTATTGGATTATCTTTTACGGTTACTCAGAATTTGGTTAATGATACATTTGGCGGTGGCCACCTTGCACTGTTGGGTGGTCAGGTTCATTTGCTGGGAATGCGTTTATCCAATATAGGACATGACCCTACGAAATCGATGGCTGAAAATAATAAAGAGCTATTGGAGTGTATTCATGATCACTTGGATTTGTTGGAGTGAGTAGATATGTTAATTATAATCATTTTTAACCCTTTGTGGCCCAATGTTGCCTACAGGCAACAACATGTTTTAGAGCTTATATTTAATATGCAGCTAGTAGATACATTTTATTTGGATTTCATATACCAAGACCTGATTATGGACGACACATAGCAAAAAAAAAATCAAAAAAAAAAAAAATTCAAAATGTTGGTTGGTAAATTTGTGTACAGTACTAATTTGTGTATACAGTCCAAATTATTTAAATCGCTTCGTATTCAAATTGTACGAGTTCTGCCATCAGAATTATTTTTGATTCTTGTAAAAATGAATATAGAGAATAATTTAAAAAGACTTTTCAGCCGATTTTGTATGTGGTTTTCTTGATATTTGACTTTAATTTTTCCGAAAGAATGTACTGTATCTCTGGAATGCAAGGATGTAGCGATGTCAAATTTTATGCATATCCTATTTAGGATAATTGCATTAAATCTGAGAACAGGAATTTGTTCTAAGATTGCGGAAAAAATTCGGGGCTCAAAGGGTTAAAATATAAACAATGTTAGTTATAATTTTTGTAAAAATAAATAATAAATCAGTAAGGAATGTAGTAAAGTCAGCCCTGGCCTATTATAAGATACCCTTCACCACTTTAGGTATAGTCTATAAATGTATCCTAACAATTGAAATAATTTAAATATGTTATCCTTATCTATAAGAGAACCGACAATCCATACACAACCTTTCTGCAACCTATGATAAATTCAATTTAATTTGGACCCTGTGTCTATGTCGTTTCCTTTCGCCTGTTACAAGAATATGTACAAAGACCTAATACCCTGTACCCCACGCTTGATTAAACAAATTTAGAACATATATATAGATTAAAACGTATTCTATTACTGGTAATATATTTCCTTCTCTATTTTTCCAACAGATATCGTCGCAAAGTCGAGGATGTCATTTCCATCTACATGTTCTTTCAGATACTCTTTTCGAACATAAATATGTGTGTGGATGTGGTATTTCTGTTACTCTTTGTCCAGGATCCATTTACTATGATCTATTATGTGTGCTGTTTTATTGGCATGATATCTGAAGTACTGCCCAGCTGTTATTTCGGAACAATTTTGGAAGATGAATTTCAAGATTTGTCATATTCACTGTTCTGCTGCAATTGGCCAGATCAGGATTTAACATTTCGGAAAAATCTTCGAATTTTCGTTGAACAAGCATCGCGTCGAATTTATGTTACTGCCTGGTGGTTTCGCATTAATAATGTTTCCTTTTTAACCGCTGTTAAAGGTTCGTATTCGATATTTTCACTTATAATGAATACGCGTTGAAATATTGAAGAATTTTGTTTGTGAAATAAATTTTTTGAAATAAATATTTGTTTGGGGCATAGAATTGTATTTTAATTATTTGTGGGGAAGTACATAAAGGAGGTGACCCATTTACATTTTACATCATAATATTCGGAATGAATATTATGATGTACAAAATTTAGATCGTGTATGTTACTTCCATGGAAATATTTAAATTAAATCTTTAAATGAGGACTAGGCTATGGACCAGCTATAGGCCTGGGCCAAAACTGGAAATTTTCTGTGTTAACGTATTTTTAACCACCAAGAACCGAGAATTCCAAATCACTGCTACTATGATTAAAAATGTGGCCGGAAACTTTTATTTTCTCGCAATATGTCATCGATTTTATGTGTCACCTTTACACTTAATTGCCTTCTCTAATTAATTAATCAGTTTTATTATTACGAAAAAGGATTATAATTGTTTAATCATTACTAAATAATGCGATGTAGTCTGGCAATAAATAAATGTGAAATAAAAAAAAAAATGGTTATTGAAATTCTAAAATTGTAAATGCATATAAAAACAAAGCCATCACAATGGACACATTATTCAGTTATCGATATTTTAACATAACACTCAACAGTAATGAGGACGGAAAACGGATTAAAAACAAAATCCCTATTTACGACCCATTTTATATGCTGGCGTATATTGGGTTTGATGCCACCGCAGAAGTATCGACCTCTCTATTGGATGTACTCTTTAATCGTCAATTTCATGGTGACCATTGGTTATCCTCTGCATTTGCTATTGGGCCTATTCACCAGTACCACATTGTATGAAGTGATACAGAATTTGGCCATCACCCTAACGTGTGCAGTATGTTCGATGAAAACTTTTGCTATTTGGAGGAAATTTAAAGATATCGATAGAATGTTTGATATCGTAAAGCGACAAGACGAGCACACCCGACCTGGCCAACAAACGGAATATATGCTGAAAAAAGTGTATCCTCCGATTAAGAATCTAATCTATTTTTTCTACATAATATGCACAATGGTGGGACTGTCGGCAGAAGTTTCGCTACTAGTTAATGGTTTGCGTGGCAACTGGCTACTGATGTATCATGCTTACTTTCCATTTGATCCTTTTGCAACGTCGACGAATTATGCCATTGCGCATATCTATCAATTTGTTGGTTTAACGTATACGATTCTTCAGAATTTGGTCAATGATACATTTGCCGGCGCCCACTTATCCCTCTTGGGTGGTCAGGTTCATTTGCTGGGAATTCGTGTATCCAATATTGGATATGACTCTGAGAAAACGGTGATTGCAAATAATAAGGAACTACTGGAGTGTATTCATGATCATTTGGATTTATTGGAGTAAGTAGATTCAATTCTTATAAACATATTTTAAATCAGTGAGCGGAGCAGTATAGTTGGACGGGGCCGACCATACGATACCCTACACAATTACCACGGAACTCTAACATTTTGCGGATGTTTATTCCGAGCCTGGGCAATATTTCGTGATATTTCCACCCGCTTGCCCGATTAGAGGTCAACAGCACCTCTTCCTCACACTGACATATATTCCGAATATTACTAATATTCTAATTACTTCTTCAGATTCCCTTCACCGTGAGTTGTTTCGTGATGTTCGGCTTATAATTGTGGCCTATAGATCGACCTTGAAAAAAAAACAACAAAAATTAAGTTTTCGGTCCAAAATTATTATTTGATCATCACCGAAAATTATAGACGTTGTCCTTGACCATACCTGGTACCTAATGGAAAATTTCAAAGCGATCAGCGCTATATTTCCGCCCTTTATTGTGGTAATGGGTTACTAAATAATATCTCGGTACATAAACTCCTGCAAATATGTAAGTGTAGCTCCCACATCTGAGTACATACGACCATATAACGGACGGACCGACACACATGTCTAGATCGACTCAGCTAGTCGAGATATGATGATCGGTATACTTGAAGGTGGGTTAAGGACCAATATTTCGCAGCGTTTGGGGCTGCACAAAGCTATAATACCCTGACAACATTGTTGTGAGCGAAATTTTTTGAATTCTCCACATATATACCAAAAATTATGATGAAAAATCAGGACTGCCAAATTATAACCACATAGTTAGGAAAATGCTTGATATTGGGCTTTGCAAAACATTGGACTGTTGAAATTTTCCTGCAAATATTTGGGAATTGCATATGGGAATAATGTTAAACACAATATCAATGTTACAGGATTTTATTCCGAATATATGTGTATACATATTTTATGCAATAATTTGTTGTAACAAAAACCTTTTTCTCTTATCTTCCCTTCCCGCAGATATCGTCGCACGGTAGAGGATGTCATATCGCTCTACATGTTCTTTCAGTTACTCTTTTCGAGCATTAATATGTGTGTGGTCCTGGTATTTATGTTACTCTTTGTCAATGATCCATTTACAATGATCTATTATGGGACCTATTTTATTGGAATGATAGCTGAAGTACTGCCAAGCTGTTATTTCGGAACGATATTGGAAGATGAATTTCAAGATTTGTCGTATTCATTATTTTCCTGCAATTGGCCCGATCAGGATTTAACATTTCGGAAAAATCTTCGAATATTTGTGGAACAAGCATCACGTCGAATTCATGTTACCGCATGGCTATTTCGTATTAATAATATTTCATTTTTAACCGCTGTTAAGGGTTCCTATTCGATATTTTCACTTATAATGAATATGCGATAAACTATAGAATATGAGAAAGTGGTGTCAATAATCTATACTAATAAAAGAGTAAAGTGATTGACTGACTGATTTAACGATTCATCAACGCCCATCTTGAAATTTTGGGTGAGGGTCACTCTTGGTTCAAATGTGGCAGATAAGGCTGGGTTTTTGGAAATTCGTACTAGAACGGTACGAAAAGTACTAAATGTGATGCCATTTGTATTTGGCGAACCGGTGGAGCTAGAACTCTGAAATTTGGTTTGGTGGTCGTTGATGGAGTGTAGGATAGATGTACCAAAGGGTTTTAGGAAATTCGAACTATGACTATCCGAAAAGTACGAAAATGTACTAAATTTGGTACAATTCTGTAGCATGTGAACGGATAGCATTAAAAACTTGAAATTTGGAGTGTGAATTAAGCTTTTGAAAGCGTGTACTCATGTGTACGAAAAGTACTATATGGTAATATTTGGTACAAATTTAATTTGGAGATACAAATCGAGCTGGAATCCTGGAATTTGAAATTAAAATTGCCGTCGGAATGTGAACGTAGCTTTGGAAATTTGTTACTTATGTGTACGAAAAGTACTAAATCGTACTATAATCTGTACAGTTTGGATTTGGATTATCCTATATAGCGGGAATGAAATTTGGAGTCAGTATCACTGTAGGGGTGTGGGATTGGTGTCAGGATTCAGTTTAAGAAAATAATACTTATAATACTAAATGGTACTATATTTGGTACAATTTGAATTTTAGGTGAACCAATAGAGCTAGAATCATGAAATTTGGAGTCAGGATCACTGTTGAGGTGTAAGATTGAGATATGTAGGAACTTTTAGAAATGTGTACTAATGTATACTAAATTTGGTACAATTTGAATTGTAAGTGAACCGATAGAGTTGGAATCCTGAAACTTGGATTTGGGATTACTGTGGGGGTGTAGGGTTGGGGTATGTAGGAAGTTTTAGAAATTTGTACTAATGTGTACTAAATTTGGTACAATTTGAATTGTGGGTGAACTATAAGAGTTGAAATCCTTAAATTTTGATTTAAGATCACTGTGGAGGTGTAGAATTGGGGTATGTAGGAACTTTTGGAAATTTCTTACAAAGGGCATTAAATGACACTAAATTTGATACAATTTGAATTGTGGGTGAACTGATAGTGTTGGAATCGTGAAACATGGATTTAGGATCACTGTGGGGGTGTTGGTTGGGGTAAAGTTGGAAGTTTTTGAACTTCGTTCTACTGTGTACTAAATTTGGTACAATTTGTATTGTGGGTGAACTGATAGAGTTGGAATCCTGAAACTTGGATTTAGGATCAGTGTGGGATTGGGGTATGTAGGAACTTTTGGAAATTCGTACTACTGTGTACTAAATTTGATACAATTTGAATTGTGCGTGAACTGATAGAGCTTGAATCCTGAAAAATGGATTTAGGATCACTGTGGGGGTGTTGGTTTGGGTTAAGTTGGATGTTTTTGAACTTCGTTCTACTGTGTACTATATTTGGAACAATTTGTATTGTGGGTGAACCGATAGAGTTCTAATCCTGAAACTTAGATCACTGTAGAGGTGTAGGATTGGGGTATGTAGGAAGTTTTTGAAATTGGTACAACTATGTATTAAATTTGGTACAATTTGAGTTGTGGGTGAACCGATAAAGTTGGAATCCTGACAGTTAGATTTAGGATCACTGTGGGGGTGTTGGTTTGGGTTAAGTAGGAAGTTTTGGAAATTTGGTACAATTTGAATTGTGAGTCAACCGATAAAGTTGAAATCCTGAAACCTGGATTTAGAATCACTGTGGGAGTGTAGGTTTGGGGTAGGAAGAAGGTTTTGGAAATAAGTACAACTGTGTACTAAATTTGGTACAACAGTAGTGGGTGAACCGATACAGTAGGAATCCTGAAATTTGGATTAAGGATCACTCTGGAGGTGTAGAATTTGAGTATGTAGAAAGTTTTGGAAATTCGTACTACAGTGTACTAAATTTGGTATAATTTTAATTCTGGATGAACCAATAGAGTTGGAATCCTAAGTCTTGAATTTTGTATCAGTGTGGGTGTGTAGGATTGGGGTATATAGGAAATTTTGGAATTGGCACTGTGAATTAATAGAGTTGGAACCCTGAAATTTGAATTTGGAATCATTGTGGGGGTATAGGATCAGGGTATGCAGGAAGTTAAGTCTTATGGAAATAATGTGTGCAAAATGGAAAATTTAGTAAAATTTGGATTTGGGTGAACCTTTAGAGCTCGAATCATAAAATTTGGTACTAAATGGTACTCAAATTTAATTTATGGTCGATATTAATGTGTGGATTGTTTTTTCTGACATATGCAGTTTTTCCTGAAAATAAAATAATATGTTAATACATTTTGAAATATTTCCTACATTCGCTAACGAAGTTGCGGGCATATGCTAGTAATAAATATACATTATTGTTGTCATGATAAACCTATTATTATTTGTTATTTCTCTATTCACTAGGCTGATAGGATATCATCTGTTTCGATATGCTTTTATTATGATAGGATATCATCTGTTTCGATATGCTTTTATTTACTTATCCTTCACCTACTTTGTACAGTATACCTGAATCTAAATTTGATTGGAATCAAAATATGATATGACACTAATTTGTCGAAAATAAATTAATTCAATGAAAAAATACCACAACAAGGACTCTTTATTGACCTACTGTCACATGAACACTATAAAGCTATATGAATGTTTTTGCTTTTTTTTTGCAATACTTCCGTAAATAGTCTTTTGTTTGTCGATATCCTTCACTTCATTAAAACACAACATTGACCTGTATTACTAATACATACCTACATATATTGTAGATAATTAATATTTTTGCTACAATGACGCCCAGATAGTTTTGTGTCATTTTGTGTTTCGAAAAATCATGAAGGTCGGCTTCGACCACACTTAAGGATATCTCACAAAGGTGTTGTTACATCGCTTTTCTTTTTTATTTGTTTACAAATACAACATTTTGAAAAAAAAATATTTTGCTGGCAAATATCTTCATTCACTTGTTGTATCTTTCACAGTGGAATAAAAAGATATCTATGGGAAAATAAAAATGTCCAATTTTTAATAAGATAGATATATTTCCTTCATTACATCTGTAAAAATAGTAAAAATTAGGAGATTTTTATGGTATGGGAACAGACATTTCATATTACAGAGTATTAAATTTTGAAATATGTCTAAATTACTATAAAATTGGATGTGAACCTCTCTCGGAAAATGGCTGTAAGACAACTTCCTGCCCACTAATAATGCCAGATGAAAAAAAAAAATATTAGCTATTTGTTTTAGTAGTGATGTATTTCCGCATACTCCAATCATTTTCATTAGCTTGGTTTTGTGAAAATTATACACACCCATAAGTAACCACAACCCCTTCACTTCTTGTATTTCTTTGAATATGACGTGTGTGTGTGAAAAAATCAATCTCCCCGCATTTGTTTTCTTTCTCAAAGTCTTTTAAAAATTCTTGTCATTGAACAATGTGTCTGTGTGTGAGTGTTGTAAATCTTGGCGCCTCAGTAAGAGTGTGTGCAGTAGTCATATTCATAGGTGCCTTTCATATAAAGTTAAAGGACACCGTGTACATTGTAGCTGCC